CAGTTATCTTTCGCAAACCTACAGCACCAATTCTTTTTTTTTTTTTTTTTACAGTTCACAGCAGAGCAAGAGGCTGCCATGAAGGAACCGATAGTGCGGCGGTTTGAAGAGGAAGGCAGTCCATACTTCTCCAGTGCTAGGTGAGGTTGGGTCATTACACATCATACTGTCATACTGTATGTCTCAGGCAGGTGTGTGATTGAATTGATTACATTATTACTGAGAGACTTTGTGGAATAACTATCTAGGGCAGTGGTGGACTACCAAAAGGCCATCAGCATTTGTCTAATTTATTTTTAGATCATTTCAATAAATTACATGATCCTGCTTTTCCAAGAACTGAGAAACCACAACAAAGACTCTTCATGCACAAGGAGTGATGCTATGATGTGTACAAGTATATTTCTTCTCCATTAGATGTCCTCTTCTACTAATATAAGCCATCTTTCCATTTAGTCCTGTAAGCCTTTTTTATGGTCAGTGTGAGCAGAGCACATATCAGATAACATCGTTCTTACAAACAACATATGCATCCTATGGTGGAAAGATCAAAAGACATTTAAATGGACAAAGTGTCCAACAAGAAGATGTTGAACAAGAAAAATCTTGCCTGTTCCCATCATGATCCTCCTGATATCTCTATTAATAGAAGCTATTAACTCATTTATTGTAGAGATGATACTCGCGGGAAATGGAGGAAACTGCTGATGACTCCAGTGAGTCAACAGAATTGGGCTCTATTGAGAACTAATCAACGGCCTATTAAAGACTGACTAATAATAATCACCAAAGCCTGTGTTTCAAACTTTGGTGCCCTGTTAGAACTGACCAAATTTGTCTAAGTCATTAATGTATGAAACCATTAATATCTGATTTTCTTGGCTGTTATGAATGCGGGGAAAACTGTAAGAATACGTAGAAATATATAGAAATAGAGAAGATTTCTTTTTGATGATGATGGAAAATAGGAATTTGCTCAGAAGAGGAAGACATACTCTTGATAATGGAACAGCACAAGAACTGCAAGAAGCATCAGATGATTGAGATGTTATGTGGTATAATGTGATTTTTTTTTTTTTTTTACAGACTGTGGGATGACGGGATTATTGATCCAGCTGATACTCGTATGGTTTTGGGACTTAGCCTCAGTGCAGCACTGAATGCACCGACGAAGAAGACACGTTTTGGAGTGTTCAGGATGTAATGCTCATTTAGCATTGTAGGTGTGGAGACCTTCCTGTCAGAGTTGTACGTATACTGTACTTAATTAGTCCTTGTAGATTTGTTTGTGAGTTGCCACCAGATTAAGAGCAACAAACACAGAAAAAAAAGAAGAAAAATCACACAACCTTGGATCCATATGAGTGGATGGTGTACTGGTGTTGTGGGACATTTCCACTAATAAGCTGTGCCTTAACTGTTACTACTCCAGTGTAAATGTAAACTGTTTCCTTCCTCTCTTTCCCCTCTCTGATGTATTGGGTTTCTTAATCAAATACTGTAAATGGTGAATTTATAAAGATGTGAAAACATCAAGTGCTGTCTTTTTATTCAGGGCCATTGTGGCTGCTTTTTGAACACATTTCCATGATAGAGAAAAAACAGGAAAATAAATCTTCATAAGGGGGCGCTGTTTAGCTATAAATATGTGATTAGCCGAGGTCTAAAGGGATGTTTGAAGCACACTCAATATTTTTCAAGATAAATGTCGATAAATCCCTCAGCTATGTTAAGGGAAGTCTTGTTTGTTTGACCTCAGTGCAAATGTCTATAGATGTAATCTCACAGTAAAAAATCTTCACTAACACAAACATTGTGTTGTAGCAGGCGGGCATAGGATGTGGTCTTATAGATCGCATGCTGCAGGCAGAGTGTGCTGTGTACCGAAGCTGAGTCGCAGTGCTTAACTTCACCAGCAGGCCATTCTTTTCTTTATCTCCCTCTCTTTTTCCACCCATTTTGTCAGTTTAGCTCTTTAACGGAACATGTTGGACACAGTTGGTATGCTCACATATTGGTATAGACCATCTGGGTTCACTCTGGCAAAAAAGTTATAGTTTTTTTCCCTCCATGGGACTTATAGAGGCCATGGATTAGGTGAAGTGGTGGATTTGAATGTTTGACTGTCTTCCTGTGAAGCCAACTGGTTAAAATGCTTAACTCGAAGCTACTCTGTGTGTGACTGTGTGGCTGCTACACTGGAGCTGTGGAGAGCCTCACCTTGGGGAGAGCAGAAATAACTCAGGCCATGAAGTGCATGTGTGTATGTGCACCACCCACACACACATCCTTCACCACCTCCTACCACCAGCTTTTAAAACTGGTTTGCTGGTCATGCCTTCATCTTCTTCCACCGAATGTCACCGTGGGAGGCATTACCAAACAGCATGAACCAGTTTTGAAAGTTCAGATTTTATTGAAGTAAGCAAAACTTTCCAGATATATTGAAATCTGATGATTCAGAAAAGCTTTGTCTCATTCATGTTTTCAAGAAGAAACACACCAAGGAAATGTCAGAATAAGAAGTATTTATGACAATTTAAAATGTCTCCCTATTCTTAAGAACCTTTCTTGTTGACCGAGACTGCTCTTAATTGCTGTAATAATCATTCACTGGGTGGCTTCCAGGTCTCCTTTGACAGAAGGACGAGGATGTCCTTTTGTCTGCCCAGAATATTTGGCAAGCTTTCCATCTGATGTTGAGTATTTTGGCTTTGAAGTTGTACAACACTTGACAACCTAGAGAAGGACAGCCTTCCCCAGCATACACTGGATTAAAAGGCCTGACGCACAGAGACATACTCTCATTAACGGCCATGTGCAGTCAATGTGTCTAAACTTGAATGTCTTTGGATCGCTCAGGGATTCCTTCCACATGGAGATCCATTTTGTGACCATGTATCAGTCACACTGTAAAAATAAAAGAATCTAACAAAAATACCCTGTGAATTTACATTGACAACCTGAAAGATCTGTTACTGTAAATAATCATAAAATTACTATTCAGTTAAAATACATTTGCAAATCTATAATTTTTTCACAGATATTGTTTAAATAATAGATTCAACTACTAAATTCAAGTTACTGTTAATGCATTACTTAATTTATGTAAAATTACTGACACATAACAGTAAAGTATTTGTTCTGTTATTTGACACTATTTTTTGGTGCCCCAGCTGCTGGAATATTACTGGGTTTTTAAATAAAAAAATAAAAAAAATCTTTTTACAGTGTGGTAATCAGTTGGTTACAACCTGCAACCTCACCACTAGATGCCACTAAACCCTGCATACTGGGCCTTTAATGGCAAGGCCAGCCATAAATGATGGGTTGCTTTGTATGGGTCATGGTATCCAGAGGATCCGGCAAGCTTTACAACTTTTAATGATACTTTTCTTGCTTTGTTGTTCCTTGTTAAAGACACAGGGATGTAGCACTCCACACATCTTACAAGTCATGATCTTTTCTCTCAAATTTTACCTCATTTTTACTCACTTGGTCGCCCAAATGTACTTTAATTAATATTTTTTGTTCATTTTTAATTAGACTACACTTGTGACACGTGTAAATAATGTTCGAGTTAAGGCAAACAACAAAAATCGGTCAGATTCTTTTGTTTTTGAGTTGATACTCTTGTAAACAATTCAGATTAATTATTCATTTATGTCAAATAAATTATACCCATTCTGATTCAGGAGCTCATTTACTTTCTGACAGATCTGCTCGGACAGTTATGACTCATGTTAAAGTCACCCCACATCCTAAAAATAATCACGACTGAGAATGTGGGTCAGTCTTAATGTCCAGTTCCTGGAGGGAAATGGATTATTGTCTGATGCAGAGATTGGTGGAAGCTACAATTCATTTTTCCCACTGAGAACAATCACCTGCTGAACATGAAAGAGAAAATTATTATTTCAAAGTTCTGGTAATAACTACTGTGGATTAATTCAGGAGGAAAAGACATCCCTTGTTTTTTAATTTGAATAAAACTGAACAACAACACAATAATGTTGATAGTCTCTTATTTTCCGTTAAGTGCAACTGTACCTATCTGTCCATGGAACAGTTAACTTTTAGTTTTGTTTACATTGGTTTTACCTCCTCGTTGTTTAGGGTTGCACATAATCAACTGCTGTGCTTGTAAAACATATTATATATAAGTGCAAAGCAACCAATATTGTCTCTTCCCTCTGTTACAAAACAATAACCAAAATCCAAATCCACCTATTTGCCATTTGTGAATGGTGGTGCTGTGTAGAAAGTACACAACCACAGATATGGAGCATATAAACCTTAGGGAATGTACCTCACCATGTTTTACAGTCTGAGATTTCATCAAATATAATGCATCATTTTCTGTACCAGACTTCTGAAACAGAGCATCAGCCCAAAATCATGTTTATAAGCAATTCTCAGGACATTAAGAGAAGTATGGAGGTGATAAAAAAAATGTTAAGTTTCTTTTTTAGCTATGTAAAGGGGGGGGGGGTTCACACAATGAAAGATACAAAGAAACAGCTGAATGATTCCAACATATTAATGGATAGAAACACCGGTTTTGTTGCAAAAGAAACACACTGCAGTGCAGAAGAAGCTAAGATAAAAGCAGTCTGATATAGGACATATCTGAGTTCAGAAGGCTGCATAGGCTCAGGCCAGGTCAGACGCTCTATCCCCCACCTCACCCTAACTTTCTGCCCCAGGACCTGAGTGTGAAGAGGCTAGCCTTGGTACTCCTCACCCGGCCCTGTGTGTGTGTGTGTGTCTGTGGTGGCCCGGACGCCGAAGTGACGATCCTTGTGGTGCAATCTACGTCTGCACCGTCCCCCGGACTGACAGGGCCGGAGGTCCAATGAAAACAAGTCGACATATTGAGGTTGTCAAATCAAAGCCAAAGGGGAGGCGCTGTCCCGCCGTCGTCTGAATTACGTCATGCACAAACAGCTGGTCGTTGGCAAAAATGTGAAAAAATGTAGACCAGCACAGCGACTGAGAACTGCACCCGGGCTGGAGCCCTATCACTAAATATTTTGCTCTTAACGATGTGGCAACTGGAGCGCCCGGGCTCAGGATGTAGCCCTCCGAGGCTCCTCTTGCTTGTTTACACCTCTCTCTGCGCTCTTGGAGGTGAGTGCTTTCCATTCACTGTGTGTTGCTTTGATTCACGAGGAGCTGTTCCTTTTTGTCGGGGTGCTGAAATCCTGCCGGAGAGCAGCGGCAGCAGCGGCAGCAGGCATCGCATTCCGTCTCCGGTTGTGAAATTCAGCCCTCCTGAACATCCACACAGCTGCTGCTTTTAGTCTCAACACACACACACAAAAAAAACCCTTTTTTATGAACAGAGACTGGCTTCAGTTAGGTGACGCATGGGGACGGTTGCTGCTAATAATGGCACGCAACACATTGACAGATGCCCCTATAGGTTGTACGCTACGATACTGTGGCCACAGGAAAAACACGTCGGGCTGGACTGCTTTCATTGTTGTTCCCTTTTGCTTGTTTCTTATTTCGTTGTTGTAGTAAGTTAAAACACGTTGGCATGATGCGAAATATGAGCGGATTTATCGCACAGTGAGGCAATGTTTGAGTTAAATTGTTGTTGTTTTTAATTCAACATCATTGAAAATGTACAGATTTAACTGGATACTGTGGCAATGTTGAAGTTAAACATTTTAAATCCCTTTAATTTAGACTCATCTGATCATAAAATGTGACCCAAAACTACAAGATGTTTTTTCTTTCTGTATATATATTTCCCCCCCTTCTTTAAAGAGTATTTTTGTACAGTTTTTGGTGTCCATCCACCAAGACTGTCTCTGCTGCTTCAAGACAGAGGTGTGAAACAAAAACCTCAGAGCTCAATTGTGGGACAACAATGAATCCATACCTACAGCACACGCTGTACTGGCTGTGATCACCAGAGATCTTAAAGCTCTGTCCGAGGATGTTGCAGTCCCCCTGATAGACTTGTTGCTGTTTTGCTCCATCAGTTTAGGTAAATCCTTGGACTTGGTTTAAGACATCCAGATCAATTCCCCCCTCTCTACCTTCTTTCTGGCATGCTGGGGTTATTTGTTTTAATATACACCAGTGTGGGGAGGATCAAAGTGATATTTGAGAATAGGTGCTCATACAGAGGAGAATGCAGTATGATTGTTAAAAAAGATCCTTGATGTTTGGTTGAATGTCTCGAAGTCAGTTTATCCGTGCTAGATAGATAGGGTGTTTTGTATTGATCTTGGTATTTCACATGTGACAGTTCTGGTGTTGACGTCTGCGAGGTTGGAAGAAGAAGGTCCTGTAATTTTCATGGCTGTGTGTTTGATTTTTGATGCATTTGTTCTTCGGTGGGTGAGGAGAACATGAAGCAAAGGATAGTGGAAATTGACGGCCAGTTTACACCAAATTCTGTTGTTGTTGTTGTTGTTGTTGCAGATGATTCTTCTTTTGCATCTGCTTTTGAATATCTTAAAATTCAGATCCTTCAATAGGAGGAATTTTGAAAGCAGCCTTTACCTTTGTTGTTTCAAAAGAAATCCAAGTTTAAAGACTATCCAGCTAAGCATTCAAGGATAAACCTCTAGTTGTATGACAAAAAGCAGGATTATGTCTGTATTAAGCCTCTAACAGGGTAAAACAGTGGTTGGGAGGCGCTCATTGAAAAGATTACTGAATTCAGTGTCGTGCTGTAAGAAAGCCTGTAAGCATTCTGCTGCCTTTTATCTTCAAATGAAATGAATTCATTTAGCTGGCAAATAAACAAGCATATTTAGATATTTTGGCATGTTTACACCTTCACATTAAGTGTAGTCACAGTGTGCGCCTGCTGGATTGTCTCCGAGATTTGTGTTCTTTTTTATTTTTTTGTAGAATCTTTTTTTTCTTCACATAGAGGGGGTTTGAAAATAGACATGCACGTTTATTATTCGAATTTTCTAATAATAACCTGGCATGTTGGTTTCAGTCATGCATTTAATTTGTCACAACAACAGATATTTCAAATGTAGCCTGTCTTGTCAATTGTGTAACTGCATCTTGTACTTACAAGACATTAACATGACAACTGGCAGACACGAGGCTGCGACAACTACCAATAAAATGTATATTTCAGAAAACTGATCTATTATTGTAACTAATGTAGGAGAATGAATGATGACTAAAAACAGCTATTAGATAGCTACATTTTGTCACAGTGACCTTTGTCAAGCATTTCAACATACCAAAACGTAGCTGTTTACACTATCAGTTCCCAACTTCTTTTGTGTTTGACCCCTTAATACGAAGCTATGTCTCCTTACAAATCCCATGGTGTATGTCTTTGAGTTGTGAGCATTTCAATCAGAGTAATTTAACCATACTTAAATAATTGTACACTATGAAGGTAAAACTACAATAAAAGAGCAAAGATTGGAGAAAAAGTCTAAAAAATAAAGATGAGAATTTAATTAGTTAGGAAGAAACCCTGTCTGTTTCCAATCAGACAAGCAGATCATACAGTGGGCTTACTGCAGACTCCAGCAATAGCGCCACACTCCACCTATTGAGTTATAGCACTTGTAACGTCTGTTACATTGTGATTAGTTTCTCCTCAGCCTCAGTCATATGTGTCAATGTAGGGCAAAGAAGACCTTATTTAATGTTAAGAAGGCATCATATACCACAGATAGCAGACCAGAAGAAGGCTGGGATGAGAGTGAAATTAAGGCTCTGAGCTTTGTATGGGATTAGGCTTTAGCTCTTGACAGTGAGATTGCTTCATTCTTCTGAGTTTCTGCCTCCTTATTCTGCGCCTTTAGTATTCAAGGTTGCTTCCATAGGTGAGAGCCAGTGCGAGCTTTGAGGACTGGTAATAGTGTGGGGGAGAGGAGTAGAGCAGAACCATTTTTCTCTTTTTCCTAACACACATTAGAACACACTGCACATTCACAAAAACCTTTTCCTTTATGCATTCACGCCTCGGCGAGGGTCACTTGGTTTTCTTTACCATGTGTCATCATCAAGGTAAAACAGCAGAAGCAATAAAAAAACATGCAGCTGCAAATGACAGCATTAGTACAGTGAGCTGGCTTACTGTCTCACTGCAACTCTTAAATGAATTGGGCTCACGCTGTTTTAGTGGCACAGGCTCTTCATTGCATCCCCAAAAAACAGTATTGTGAAATTGTACTATTTTTGTACAAATTGCGAGTGAAATAAATTATCCCCCGAAAGAAAGAAAAACATTGAAAGACATCACCATAGGTATTCCAAGTACGGATGGTTGACAAGCACAAACACAAAGGGAGTGTGTTACAAATGGAAAACATTCTCCTCCAGTGAAACATCAAGGTGCCTCCACATTGTTCCAATGATATATCGCTGCCTCCTTCTTTATCTAAATATGTTTATATTCGTGATAACACTAATCTAACAGATGCAGTATGTTCTAGTAGAGCAATTAAATGACTCACACACAATTTCCCCCAGATTTTGCCCACCCGCTGGGTTGCTCGAAGCCAGCCAGGCTCATGTAGGTAATATGGGAGATTACACCTGTCACTTGTTCTGCAGCTTTTATATGCAGAGCCTTCGGTGGATGTAATCCAAGGATTTGACATTATGCAGGACGCGAGCCTGCATGCATACATCTCCCTCAGCTGCTTTAAAAGGAGTTAAAGTCTCTGATCACATATTTAGATGATCTAGCTCTCCACAAACTGGCGGGTTCAAGGAGACGCTTGTCGTTATAGACTTAAGTCAGAGAGGCCGCTTATGCCTCTGTTCTGTTTACAAGAATGATAGTGCTGACAAATTGGCAAATGGTTTTGTACTTGGGATTCAGTCTTGATAAGCAAAAGTCTGAATCTTACCTCTTAACCACGATAGCAGTGTGGCTAGGGATGGCTATATATCGATCTGAAATCTAGTAGGCACTAGGTCAAAGATTTCACTTATATTGTGAAATATCTCAACATGTACCAGATGGATTAGCAAAAATTCTGGTACAGATACTCGTGGTTCTCAGACTTTTTAGGTAAAAAATTCAATTTGTCCAATTTGGTTTATTCCCAAACACCTGCACAACTAATGACATTCCTATCAACCTCAGCATGCTAACACACCAAACTAAGGTGGTAAACATGGTAAACATTATAATAATTGATTCTAATTGATCAAATATAACACTTAATATTTCCTTATTTTCCTCATATTTATCCTTACAAATATTCAGTAACACCTTCCTCTGGTTCTGTTACCTACAGATTGCCTTTTTGTGACTGAATACTTCACCCGCACGCCTCGTAAGCTGAATGCTTTCAACTCCTTTGCAAGTGTGGAACTGTTCCACTTCAATGTGCCTGACGACACCATGATGGCCGTATGGAACCTCATCACCTTCAAGGAGCAGGGGGGCACGTTCGGAGACAGCTGCCCAAACCGCAATGTGACTGTGTAAGACGAGTTTGTCACAACATCTTTCTTTATCTTAAAGCTTTTCTTTTGTTGAAGTTGAAGGCTGCTCCTTCAGCAGGGATATAAATAGATAAGATAATAATCAGCATCTTATAGCCTACACTTTACCTGTGGGAAAAAGGTTATAGCAGCTGGTTAAACCTGATCAGTGTCAGCTTTTACTGGCTGCCTCTACATATGGAGGAACTGCTGTTAAAGCATTAGCTGCTTTCAGCTTTGAATTTTGCCCGTCTAATTTTATCATTTTGATAAGCAATGTTAGTCATGTGGTATCTCATGTGACTCTTCCGTGAACCTGTGATGTTATGATTGACGTGTAAGTGGTTATCACAGTCAAATATGTGGGGCTGGATAAGCTCATTAATGATTCAGATTTAAATGTTTCAAGTTTTAAATAGAAAATGCCATATGTGCTTTCAGCTGTCATCCTATGGATGGATTTTAGATTTGGCAGATGCCTCTGTTGTTTGAGAAAATATTAGGCCTAACGTGGATTGAATTTGTGATTAATAGGTACTTCAGGTCGGGGGCTCCTCCAGTAATCAACCCCCTGTACACCAGCTTCCCTCGGGATACAGTCGTCCCAGGATCCTTTGCTGTGACTCTTACCTGGACTCTTCCAAACCGTACAACAGGAGCATTCAATGTGACCAGCCCGCTCCCTGGAGACTGGTTCCTGGCTGCACATTTACCCAAGGATGAAGGCAAGATCTCAGTCAAGGTGAGCCTGAACATTTATCACACATAAATGTCATAGTTTCATCTGTGAGTTATAATTTTGGCAATATAGTTGCTACACTGTGCTTCCCAGGTGCCCACTTATAAACAAATGGTGGGACAAAACTGTCTTTTTTAGTTTGTCTGCCCAGCCACAGTTGCTTTTACTGCTTAAGTAAACTAGATTCACCTATCATCAGCTCTATATAGGCACAGTGATGCTTTGAGCTAAATGCTAACATGTCAGTGCTAACATGCACATTTGTAGCAGGTATAATGTTTACCATCTAAGTACAGCTAAAAATGTTGACCTTATAATGGATCACCAAAGCTATTTCATGAATGTCTGAACCAAATTTCATGGCAAATTTCATTGTCAACATATCTAATTCAAAGCCGTAAATATCAACCTTATGGTGGTGCTACTGGAAAGGTCAGAGGATCACCAAAGTCATTGTACAGGAACCATGAAGCTAAACCAAATTCCATGTAAGTCTTTCTGATAGATGTTGATATATTTCACTAGATAAGTGATACGTTTTACCTGCTGAGTTAATCAAAATCAATAGGATTCAACCTTTTAAGTACCATGTATGCCATGGCAATCCAATGAATAGTTGTCTAGATATGTCTGTTTGGACCAAAGTAGTGGACCAACTGACCAGCAGACCAACAACACCATCCCTGGATGTTAGCATGGAGAAAAATAGAAAATGAAAAGCAAATGAAAAGCTTGAATCACTGTTTTGTTATGCATCACTCAATAATGAGGACTGGTAAAACTGAAGTGTTATGTAATGTTATTTAAATGAGATCTACATCAAAAATATTTTCTTCATGGTCACTTAACATAAAAATGATGTAAGTATTCATTGGGATTAGTATTCCAGCTTGTGCTGCAGAGCTTAAAGGGGCAAAACAGTGTCAGAGAGCTTTTCTTCATCTCATCATGTTCTCCTATTTGGCCACATAAACACCTGCTGATTTCCATTTCAGGCAATTTATTTGTCTCTGGCATGGTGTTCAGTTGTGCTTCCTTTGTGGTTTCAACTGGCTGAAAAAGGTTTACCTGGAATGCACAACAATCAAAAATATCATCAAAAGTTGCTATCAACATTGCAACAAAATAAATGGTTTGCTTTGGGGGCACTGGGAATAGAAGCTGCTATGGCTAAAATGTGGCTAGCCTCCAATGACACACTGTATAGATGGAAATAATGTACCTTTTCCAGATTCTGCTTTCTGAAGCAATTTTCAAGCAACCAAGATGTGATGTTTTCAATTCAGAAAGGAAGGGTGTGGAAGCAATGCAAGCAGAACAGAGGGGATGCACACTGAATTTATAGCAATCTCAGTCAAATGCTGAATTTAGCCCACATTATATATAATATTGGAGAGTAATTATTCTCTGTATGTGAGCATATATTTTGTGAACTATTTCACCTGTATACCTCCACGTAGTAACTATTGGATTGGATTTGTTTGTTAATTATTCACTCTTTTTTTTTTACCTCATAATGTCAATACAAAGACAAAAAGCCACATTTGATACCATGCAGACACTTTTCCCATCACTCACATATCAAGACCAGGTGCATCACATCCTGATTTGAAGTAATTACACATCATACAAAGCTCAGTGTAAATGAGTGTAAATGAGGAAATTGATGGGAAGTGATAAGAGAAGTAAAGTATATTGAATGTTCACCCATCCATCCAAGCATCTTTGTGCTCCTTGACGCTTGTTGTTATGACTTCATCAGAGTGTAGGGCAACCAATTTATCTTATGTCTGGGTTATGGTGACGCTATGTAGATTTAGGCTGTAGTAACAGTAATAAAAAGGTTGTGGGAATTGAGTGAAAAAGACTAAATCTTAATATAATCAATCACAATTCTGTAGGGGTTTCTTTTCTTGCACTTACTTAAAAAGATCTTACTATTTTATGATGATCACTATAATTTGGGCTTGACATAGTGGTTTGCCAGTATATATTAGCCTTTTATAAAATGCTGGATATAGGCAGTCTAGTGTCAGTACAATGAAGCTATCTATATAAAAATTACAATTAAATTGATATTTGTTACACATTATTTACTAATACAATTATCATTTGCTTGTTTGTTTTGTAAATTAGCATAATTAGTCATGTTTACAATCTAATGCTATCTAACATTGTTAAATTCTTCCTATTTCATTTTATTAATGTGTGTAAATAGAAGCATTCAATATATATATATATATATATATATATATATATATATAATACACACACACATATATAATGCAGTTCAATGCAACACCACTAACAGATTTAAA